TTACCATTCCATTTTTCCCAGGCAGAGTATCCAGATACATGTAACCACCAATGATATTAAGTTGTACCCTCAGGAATACTACCAGCATTGCTGTACTGTAGACTGATGCTACTGTGCGGCAGAAGCCTACATATAGGGAGATGAAATTGAAACACATCAAATGTACCCTGTATATTCAGCTCTCTGAAATGTTAGGTTCTTTAACCCTCCTACACAAAGATGCAATCTTTTGAGTTCCAAAAACCAACGCAATAGAACTGAGGTCCTATTCCATTATTTCCTGCTCTGCTGTCCAGGTGGTCAGCCTGCTTTGAACACTTCAATATTTTCAAAGTAAATGTTTCAGCCAAGCTGGCACTCAGTTATGAGAACCAGACAGAGATCGAGAAAAAGGCCAGGTGGGCAGTGGTGTGCCTTGCAACGAACTGCCAGCCTGCGCCCAAGATCCCAGTATGAGCTTTTTTCCTCTTTTTGTGCACGTTCTTGCACTTAAACCTTTAAAACCATTTTGGGCTGCATTCATGATTTGCTTTAAAGGATCTTTAAATGTTAAGTTGCTAAATCGTATTTACAAACCAGTATGAGGTTACATACAGTGCTTAACAAATTATCAATATATGTATGCATGTCCTTGCAATCAAACAAAAATAATGACTTCTTGCAAACATTAACTACAAAATGATGTAAAAGTGCCTTACTGACAATCTTCAATTCCTTCCACAGATCAACCCTGTTCTCTGGCCTGAACAAAATGAGGGAAAAACTAAAGCACATGTAATACATGTATGCAGGTACAACTACAATGTTCTGTGATACTCTTTGTGGGTGGACATTGTATAATATACAGAACTGCATGTGTAAACTAGTCATTTGAGATAACTATTGATGTACATAGCTCTTCAAAACATTTTCCACACACAGCCAAGTTACCAGTATGCCACACCATACACCACACAATACACATATAATTTTTGCATTTCCTTGCAATGTGCACTAGCATAAATTTCAGTACTGTCCTCCAAGTAATCCACCTACAATTACATGTACTGTACATGTACGCATTGAAAGACACAGACATACTTGCGCAAACTGGTATGAACTAAATATCTTAACTATGCGCTGCTCAAGAGACTGGGTTCTAATTGGTAACAGCTTTCACCAGAAAGGTACCAGTGACAGATGTACCAACAGCAAACTGATGTTGATGCAACACAAGCTGCTTGCACTAAGCACGTGCCATGACTGTACACATAGGTGTACATGTATCTTAGGTTTTCAGAGTACTTGAGTTCTTCCTGCAAGTTACTGAATAAGTCTAATTGATGGATGCAGTTTCTTGGAGGTACTGTACATGTACCATAGATGTACACATGCATGTAGATGTATACACTGCATGTACATTGTACAAGTAACTTCTTTACACTGCATGCGCTGATACCATCAGGATTTTTTTATTATTTGAGGTCTGGTACTCAAGGGTGCATCACTAAACCCCAAAAGATGACAAGCTAAAGGGCACTGATGCACTTCCTCTGGGGGCCGAGGGAGCATCATGCATGTACATGTACGTGTACCAGTGCAATTATGGGTGCATAAACTCTTCCAAATATATCAAGAACACAAGTTATTTGCATTAAGAACATACACAGATATTGTTAAATTTACATGTACATGTACATGTACACGTACAGTAAACTCTCAACAACTTCAAGTTGTTTTCAACTTCAAGTTGTTTTCAAGATGTAAATAGTTTGCGGTACCCGCTGCTTCATTTGACTCGGACCGGCCAGCCG